AGAATCTGAATGCTTAAACCACCTGTAGAATCCGAATGCTTAAACCACATGTAGAATCTGAATGCTTGAACCACCTGTAGAATCTGAATGCTTAAACCACCTGTAGAATCTGAATGCTTAAACCACCTGTAGAATCACAATGCTTGAACCACCTGTAGAATCCAAATGCTTGAACCACCTGTAGAATATAAATGCTTGAACCACCTGTAGAATCTGAATGCTTAAACCACATGTAGAATCTGAATGCTTAACCCACATGTAGAATCTGAATGCTTAACCCACATGTAGAATCTCAATGCTTGAACCACCTGTAGAATCTCAATGCTTGAACCACCTGTAGAATCTGAATGCTTGAACCACCTGTAGAATCTCAATGATTGAACCACATGTAGAATCTGAATGCTTGAACCACCTGTGGAATCTGAATGTTTGAACCACCTGTGGAATTTGAATGCTTGAACCACCTGTAGAACCTGAATGCTTGAACCACTTATAGAATGTTGATACTAGGCCACTTGTAGAATGTTGATACTAGGCAACTTGTACAATGTTGATACTAGGCCACTTGTAGTATGTGAATGCTTAACACATGTAGAGTATGGATACTAGGTCACTTGTAGGATCTTAATGCTTAAACCACTTATAGAATGTGAATAATAAGCCACTTATAGAATGTGAATACTAAGCCACTTGTAGAATGTGAATGCTTAACCACATGTAGAGTGTGGATACTAATGCTTAAACCAGTTATAGAATGTTAATACTACAATAGTCTGCTTTCAATGAAATAGAGAAATTGTACACTTGGTACCAACCAGATTCTACTTCAGCATTTATAGTTCTATCAAACTAACATTAACACTTCTCACATATATATACATATGTACGGTATATATATACATATGTACAGTATATATATATATATATATATATATATATATATATATATATATATATATATATATATGTATGAGAAAACATTTCAAAAGACAATTTTATGCTGCATCATGTTTGATATTGAGTTTATGTGACATCGTATGTGTGCTTATAAGTTTTTCTCTGCTACTAAACATATAGCTATAACAATGTATATCTCTTCTGAAAACTTGGATATTAGAAGATACAATTAATATGTGTTAGATTAATATTAATATCTGACACAGGTGCCAATTTTGATTACATGCATTATGTTAGAAATTATTAATACAAAACATGTCAATATGAATTCTCTTATGGTAACCAAGTTTACAGAAGATGTATCTATGATGTACTGCATAATTCATTTCATGTTCCTTCAGTACTGAAGACAAAGTACACCATGTTATTTCTATAAAATATACAGTTAGCTCAGTTTTCCTGTTAGTTGCCATTCATATTTCCAGTAAATGCTTACTAATAAAATCATTCTATATATTTTTCCTATTATAAGCATATGTCCATGAAAGCCAAATATATATATATTTGGTGAGATTTTAAATATGCCACTTAAGACTCATTTTTAACAGGGCTTTTGAGGCATTATCTGTCCTTCAAATAAAGCATTAATACTTACTATAATACAATCTTAGCAAGCATGTCTATGTTTTAACAAGGCTGTATTCCAGTGACTTTTTGCATTAGCTATAATAAACATTTTTTTTTCTATTGATTCAGACATTTCCAAGAAGCCCTACAGGAACAACTACTACAGTTATCACTACACAGAGTACAGCACCAGTAAATGGGACAACCAATACACCAGTTGTTATTTACAATGCCACCAACTCGCAGGTGGTTGCATACACTGCAGGTGCCATCACTCCACCTCCAGAGTATGTCCCCAATCCATACATGCAACAGTCATCACATGGAATGCCTGGACCCACACATGGAGCATATCCATATGCACCTCCACTTGGACCACCACCCAATGCTACCCCACCACATCTTTTGATGTATGGAGGGGAAAAACCACCTCCATATTCCCTCTGATAGGAGATGTCAGCACCAAAGCCATTAAGTGTGTATGTTTGTGTGTTTTGTCAGCATAAACTGTGAGAACTACAATGCAAGAACACTGCCTAGCTTTCAATGTACAGAAAGCATACTTTGTATATAAAAGTATTTTGGCATATATTCAACAGAAGTCAAATCTGCCTTCCTGCCTTTAAAATATGCAGAAAAAACTTTTGGAACCTCAATTATCACTCATAAACTTACTTGATTAGTGCAACACAATAACTCTGCCCAAGCTTTTATTTCACTGCCTCTGAATTTATCTGTAGTGCAAAAAATTATAGTCAGTAATTTTCTCATACTTGGCAAGCTCAAAAAGCTTATATAAGTGAATAACTGCTGAACCATTCCTACTAGCTGGAATTTATAATCTCCTTTTCTGCGATTTTGTAATATTTCTTTTTTAACTGAAATTGTGTGTTTTGATTGTTGTTATACACTGACTTTTATTTTATGTTTTGTATGTAATAATTTATGCAAATGCTCTATATAATGCCTACTATGCACTATAAATGCAAAGATTTATAGATTTTTCTGTCAATGACAGTAAAGAATTGCTTCAAGCAGGCTGAGTTGTCTCTTCCGTCTCTGACATAAAAGTTGTCATATTTCTGTCAATATTCAAGTTTTTGTACTGTTACAAATAAAGTATTATTTTACATGTGTATGAATTATGGAATACATCCCATCAAATATGATTAATGACATATGAATAAAATACACTGATACATAAGAAATAACACCTTTAATGGTAAACATGCCTGCCCAGCATTAGGGAGATTTGGGGTTTTTACTTCTGTGAATTGCTGCCACAAAACATGCTGCCCACTTGCAAGACTGTTGGCATTCAACATTGAAAGCATGGCCTGCAGTTGAAGGTGATGTAAAGCTGTCAGTCCTGTGTGATGTACTTGTCAGTGCATGTAAAAAAATCACAGCATCCTTGTCTGGAATTTCAGATCAGTAATTAGGTTCTTTACCTGTTGATCTGCGGACCGTAAAATCTGTATTAGAAGCCGCATCCCTAATAGAAGTCGCACCCATTTTTTTTGAATAATAGAGAACCAAAAATTCATCATTTCTCATATGTGTAGATGCTCTATTAGAAGCTGCATCCCCTCTGTTGCATTGTACCATTTTAATAGAAGCCGCGGTTTCTAATACAGATTTTACAGTAATAAATAAACCACTGGAAAACCAGTCTAATAAAACCAAACCCTCTAATAATTTTGACAGCACTATGAACTGGACCTATTCTTTTTTGTAGACAGTTTTCACTGTACATAAAATCAACTGGGCTAGTTAAAAAAAAATGTAACTTTGTCAATAACTGAGTATACTATCAAACATTTCAAACAATTTCAGCTCATGAAGATTGCAACAGATAATGGCAAATTTTTTTTATTTGTCCCTGTTTAGTTCCTTTTTGTGTGCATGTGAACATACATGCATCTCTACCTCTGTTACAGACATGACTGGACCAACTACATTAAAAATTCATACATGCATCTCTACCTCTGTTCCAGACATGATTGGACCAACTACATTACAAATTCATACATGCATCTCTACCTCTGTTCCAGACATGACTGGACCAACTACATTAAAAATTCATACATGCATCTCTACCTCTGTTCCAGACATGACTGGACCAACTACATTAAAAATTCATACATGCATCTCTACCTCTGTTCCAGACATGACTGGACCAACTACATTACAAATTCATACATGCATCTCTACCTCTGTTCCAGACATGACTGGACCACCTACATTAAAAATTCATACATGCATCTCTACCTCTGTTCCAGACATGACTGGACCAAC